ACTGAGAGTAGATCTTTAGTATTCTCAACACACACACACACACACACACACACACGAAAATGTTAACTATGTGAGGTGATGGATATGCTAGTTTGATTATGGTATTCATTTCACAATGTGTAAAACAAGTTGTACATCTTAAATTCATACAATTATACCGCATAATGCTCAGGGGGTGGATTCTATAGTTAAATAAAAAAAGGGAAATCACTGTGATGGAGGTTACTCGGAGATGGCTTCATAAAGGAAGTGTGTCTTAGATTTAACCTATCTAGCATAAGATTTGAATTAATAGAGAAACTATTTCTTTCTTACACCAATTCCTGATCCTTCAAGTCTTGTCTTTGTTCTTTGCCACTTCCCTGACCTCAACACTAATGAATCCAGGCTTAATTCTCCACAGAAGAGAAGGTGGCAATTAAAGACTAAGGAAACCAAGGAAAGGAAAAGGTTTGTAGTTCTTTAAAAGAGAAAGAGATGGGCAGAAAAGATCATTTTAAAAACTTAAGCCACAAAAAACAAACAAACAAACAAAACCTTAAGCCAGAACATTTGTTCCTTGGTTGTTCCATTTACTTTTTCAACAAAACCATATGTATTGAAGGCCTGCTATGTGCCAGGCACTGAGCTAGATGATGGAAGACAGCTGTGAGCCAGACAGACATGGTTCTGCCCTCGGGAAAAAGTGCAGATTCATAGACACAACTGTCTGAACTTCAGTAATACATGAGGTACCTCATGCCAACCCCATGAAGAATTGGATGTAAGTTCGTTTTTCCACAATACCCCTTAAGTACTTGGCTTTGGTTCCCACCTTTCTAATAAATGGGTGTTTGCAGCTTTGGTCTAATTGACATTTTTGTTACTGGTTTGACTGATGATAACAGTGTGATCAAATATTCAAATGATATGTGTAATGAGGAATGATAGTAGAAAACTGAATGTGAAACAAAATATCTTGATGGGCTATAGCAGTGGATTGGACTTCATATGAAATTTGATAAAGACAAATATAAAGTCCACATTCAGGATGATTTATTTGTGGAGGGGAAAAGATATATACATTTAATTGACCACAAGCTCAATATGAGACAAAAATAAAAATACAATTATCAACAAAGCTAAAGAACAAGACCTTATTAACAATATAATTTTAAAACAAGGGATGTATAGAACTCTGTTCTACTTGAAAGTCTCAGGTCATATTTGTAGCCCCATATTCAGTTTGGAAAGCCCAGTTTAGAGGGCCACTGAAAACTGCAGCAACTGGGAGGTGAGGACTGTTGACCCTCAGCCCTATGAAGGCAGTTTTGGAAGATCAGCATTTTCATCAGAAAGAAGAAACAATCGAGGGAACACAAGAGTTATCACAAATTTGAAGGCGCAGCAAATAGAAGAGATTGGAGTGTGTGTGTGTGTGTGTGTGTGTGTGTGTGTGTGTGTGTGTGAGATGTTCTCAGAGAGCAGAATATGAAGCCAAGGGAAATAATTACAATAAAGCAGATTTTTAACATTTTTCTAACAATCACACCTTTTCTAAAACAAAAGGGCTCGCCTCAAAAGGGAGTAAGTAATTAGTCCCCAGAAGCTATCGAACAGAAACCAGAAGACTATTCTTTCTAGATATTAGGGATACACCAGGTTGATGTTTGGTCTAGTTGGACTAGGCCACTGTACAACTAAATTTCTATGACTCCATAAAAGAACTACATGACATCATGTGGAGAAGTGCTATCATAGAGATAAAATGTGCTAAGGAAATGTAGGAGAGAAAGTAAATAAAAGTAGTCAAAAGGAAGCCAGTAGTGGAGAGAGAGAAATATCAGACTTTGGAAGGGAAGGGAAGGAACGGGGGTGGGGTTGGGGGGGGTAAGATTCCTCAGTAGGCTGGAGAGAAGTGTTTCAAATGAGAGGCTAAGATATGCATTCATTTATTCATTCAACAAGTATTCACTGAGTACTTACTAAACCAGGGGTGGGCAAACTTTTTGACTCAAGGGCCACAATGGGTTCTTAAACTGGACCAGAGGGCCGGAACAAAAGCATGGATGGAGTGTTTGTGTAAACTAATATACATTCAAAGTAAACATCATTACATAAAAGGGTACGGTCTTTTATTTCAACAGTTTTATTCATTTCAAACGGGCCGGATCTGGCCCACGGGCCGTAGTTTGCCCACGGCTGTACTAAACCCTACACACTGTCTAGTGACTGAAAATGAAAAAATTCAAGGATACAGTCCTTGTGCTGGTGAACCTGACAGATGTGCAGAGAGAAACATAGACAAATGGACAATGCAATGTTATATGGCAACTGTTAAAATGGAGGTGAAGGAAAGCACAATGAAACACAGAAGAAGGAACACCATGTCAACCTGTGAAAGACATAGATGATTTCCTGTTCTAAATTATGTAACCCCTTAATAGAGTCCTGCTTAGGACCCATACAAAATGAGATATTCCCCCAAAGAATTCCAACTTCACTACACGCCACAGGAAGGGCCCAATCTACCATCCCACTCCATCAGGACCACAAATATCGATGGACTCTTGGCAGACAGCAGAGAAAACAGAGAGATGAAAAATTGATATTCTTCAGCAAGAGCCCCTCTTCTAATATATTTCGCATTCACATTCACATTCAGGAAGAGCTATAAGAACCAAATAATATTAGTAATATGTTTTATTTTAACTTTAACTTTCATTTCACTATATTCACTTGCCTTGCTAAGATGGGGAGGGGGGTGCAATGTTTGCTGTGGAAGCTCTTTAGGGAAAAGCAGAGAACATTAATTGCTTCCTTGACCTTTAGCTGAATATACCCTCTTGGGCCTCCTTGTAAATGCAGCACTTCTTTGACAAGTCACCTAAGGTATCAGGGTTTAATAGATTTTTGAGTATACTAAATCCCAGGAGCATCTCCTAAAGTTCCAATCTTTGATATAAAAACTTTGCCAGTGA